TCTATAGAAGGTCTTACTAACAGCGACACTTTTGCTATAGAAAAAGTCTCACTAACAGCGACACATTTTCTATAGAAAAAGTCTCACTAACAGCGACACATTTTCTATAGAAAAAGTCTCACTAACAGCGACACTTTTTCCATAGAAAAAGTCTCACTAACAACGACACTTTTTCTATAGAAAGTCTCACTAACAGCGACACTTTTTCTATAGAAAAAGTCTCACTAACAGCGACACATTTTCTATAGAAATAGTCTCACTAACAGCGACACATTTTCTATAGAAACACAGTCACAAAAAGTTTTTCTTTTGTAGAGACTTTTTCTATAGAAAAAGTGTCTCTTTTGTAGAGACAAGAAAAAGTCTCACTAACAGCGACACTTTTTCCATAGAAAAAGTCTCACTAACAACGACACTTTTCTATAGAAAGTCTCACTAACAGCGACACTTTTTCTATAGAAAAAGTCTCACTAACAGCGACAGATTTTCTATAGAAATAGTCTCACTAACAGCGACACTTTTGCTATAGAAATAGTCTCACTAACAGCGACACATTTTCTATAGAAAAAGTCTCATTAACAGCGACACATTTTCTATAGAAAAAGTCTCACTAACAGCGACACATTTTCTATAGAAAAAGTCTCACTAACAGCGACACATTTTCTATAGAAAAAGACTCACTAACAGCGACACATTTTCTATAGAAAAAGTCTCACTAACAGCGACACATTTTCTATAGAAACACAGTCACAAAAAGTTTTTCTTTTGTAGAGACTTTTTCTATAGAAAAAGTGTCTCTTTTGTAGAGACTTTTTCTATAGAAAAAGTGTCTCTTTTGTAGAGACTTTTTCTATAGAAAAAGTGTCTCTTTTGTAGAGACTTTTTCTATAGAAAAAGTGTCTCTTTTGTAGAGACTTTTTCTATAGAAAAAGTGTCTCTTTTGTAGAGACTTTTTCTATAGAAAAAGTGTCTCTTTTGTAGAGACCTTTTCTATAGAAAAAGTGTCTCTTTTGTAGAGACTTTTTCTATAGAAAAAGTGTCTCTTTTGTAGAGACTTTTTCTATAGAAAAAGTGTCTCTTTTGTAGAGACTTTTTCTATAGAAAAAGTGTCTCTTTGTAGAGACTTTTTCTATTGAAAAAGTGTCTCTTTTGTAGAGACTTTTTCTATAGAAAAAGTGTCTCTTTTGTAGAGACTTTTTCTATAGAAAAAGTGTCTCTTTTGTAGAGACTTTTTCTATAGAAAAAGTGTCTCTTTTGTAGAGACTTTTTCTATTGAAAAAGTGTCTCTTTTGTAGAGACTTTTTCTATAGAAAAAGTGTCTCTTTTGTAGAGACTTTTTCTATTGAAAAGTGTCTCTTTTGTAGAGACTTTTTCTATAGAAAAGGTGTCTCTTTTGTAGAGACTTTTTCTATAGAAAAAGTGTCTCTTTTGTTGACACTTTTTCTATAGAAAAAGTGTCTCTTTTCTTGAAATTTTTTGAATTGTCAATTTTGTTTTAATATTCCATAAATTTTGTCAAAATTGCAAAATTATTTCATGAATAATTCCAATTTAAACAAAAATTAAAACACTTTTTTTATTTTAATAAACAACTAAAGTTCAAGTACTGGTAATTGAACTTTTCAACAAATTAATGTTTCATGAATGGATCTCATTTAAATATTGTTTATTATCATCATGCCCAAATGATATTGATCCGAAAATAATATTTATGATTTGAAAAAAAAAATGTTACTTTTACACACAACAACTGCAACAACAAGCAAATTGACCCCAGAGTCATTTAACACTTTATCTTCCGTCATTTATTGTTTCGTTGTTAAATTAATGACATTTTAACAATAAAATTAAAATCAAAAAAAAAAAAACTCAAGCTTTTGTTGTTAATTATTTAACATAATCAATAAGTATTTGAAAATTTTAATTGTAGTTAAACGTACGAGTTATTTATAATTAAATTGTTAAAACAATGAACTTTTTAAGAAAAACAAATTCAATTTAAAATTCGAAATGCAAATCAGAAAAAATTGTATTTTTCTTTGTAAATTATTTGTTATTAACAAGAATTTACAATTGATAACCGACATATTTTTACATTTTCGACAATTTGTCACCAAATTTGGAATAAAAACGAAATTTAAAAAAAAGTACCTCTCACATGTTATTTCTATAAATGTCGTGCAAATGCAAATTATTAAGTGTCGACAATGCAATTAATAAAATTTGCTTAAAAAATTAATTAAAAAATATTCAATAAAATACGCAAATGTGCAGGAATTTATTAACATTTTAATTTTTCGTAAAGTGTGAACTTATAACATATTTGTTTACAAACATTCCTAGATTTATACGGCCAAAACAAAAGATTTAAGCAACGAACTTGACTTTTTTTTACAAATTGTTATTTTATTGTTTATTTCCTTAAACAAACAATAAAAGATATAAATCGTACTATTATTAAACGACTTAACAGTACGTGTTACTTTCATTATGTCATTTTTGACAATCGTTAATAGACAGCCGTTAAATGATGAGTCCATTAAAAGTGTGTTAACACTGAATTATGAAAAAAATTAAAATTTTCAAAAACTTCTCTGAATAGAAAGTGTTTCTAATAGTGAAACTTTTTCTATAGAAAAAGTGTCGCTGTTAGTGAGACTTTTTCTATAGAAAATGTGTCGCTGTTAGTAAGACTTTTTCTATAGAAAATATGTCGCTGTTAGTGAGACTTTTCTATAGAAAATGTGTCGCTGCTAGTGAGACTTTTCTATAGAAAATGTGTCGCTGCTAGTGAGACTTTTCTATAGAAAATGTGTCGCTGCTAGTGAGACTTTTCTATAGAAAATGTGTCGCTGCTAGTGAGACTTTCTATAGAAATGGTCGCTGCTAGTGAGACTTTTCTATAGAAAATGTGTCGCTGCTAGTGAGACTTTTCTATAGAAAAAGTCTCTGTGAAGAGACACTTTTTCTATAGAAAGGTCTTAATGAAGAAGACACCTTTTCTATAGAAAAAGTCTCTATGAAGGAGACACCTTTTTCTATAGAAAAAGTCTCTATGAAGCAGACACCTTTTGTATAGAAAAAGTCTGAATCAGAAACATTTTCTCTTTGAAAAAGTGTCTAATTTTTCTATAGAAAAAGTCTCTATGTAGCAGACACTTTTTTATAGAAAAGGTCTCTGAAGGAGATGTTTTTTCTATAGAAATAGTCTCTAAGAAGGAAACACTTTTACTATAGAAAAATTCTCTATAAAGGAGACACTTTTTCTATAGAAAAAGTCTCTATGAAAAAGTGTCTCCTTTTTGTATAGAAAAAGTCTCTATGAAGCAGACACCTTTTCTATAGAAAAAGTCTCTATGAAGGAGACAATTTTTCTATAGAAAAAGTCTCTATGAAAAAGTGTCTTCCTTTTTCTATAGAAAAAGTCTCTATGTAGCATCTGAACGAGATATTTTTTCTATAGAAATAGTCTCTATGTAGCATCTGAACGAGATATTTTTTCTATAGAAATAGTCTCTATGAAGGAGACACTTTTTCTATAGAAAAAGTCTCTATGAAGGAGACACTTTTTCTATAGAAAAAGTCTCTATGAAGGAGACACTTTTTCTATAGAAAAAGGCTCTATGAAGAAAAAGTGTCTCCATTTTGTATAGAAAAAGTCTCTATGAAGCAGATACCTTTTCTATAGAAAAAGTCTCTATGAAGGAGACAATTTTTCTATAGAAAAAGTCTCTATGAAAAAGTGTCTCCTTTTTCTATAGAAAAAGTCTCTATGAAAAAGTGTCTCCTTTTTCTATAGAAAAAGTCTCTATGAAAAAGTGTCTCCTTTTTCTATAGAAAAAGTCTCTATGAAAAAGTGTCTCCTTTTTCTATAGAAAAAGTCTCTGTGAAGAAGATACTTTTTCTATAGAAAAAGCCTCTGTGAAGGAAACACTTTTTCTATAGAAAAAGTATCTGTGAAGAAGATACTTTTTCTATAGAAAAAGTCTCTGTAAAGAAGACACTTTTTCTATAGAAAAAGTCTCTGTGAAGGAGACACTTTTTCTATAGAAAGTCTCTATGAAGGAGACACTTTTTCCATAGAAAGTATGTAAAAAAATACACTTCTTTTCTTTATAAAAAGTCTGTATTAAAGAGATAGTCGTTTTTCTATAGCAAAAAAATCTTTTCTAAAAAGACCTTTTGAAGATGTTCGTTAAAGAATCTTCTTTTTGAGGAGTTTATTTCCTTAGAAAAAGTGTCTCCTGTGTTAAGAAGTTTTCTGTTTTCTTTCCCAATTTACTTTCGTTTCATTTTTCTTAATAAAAAGTGTGTATTGGGGTCAGTAAAACGTATATTCACCTAACAATTGCTTTTTAATATTTGGTGACAAGTGTTACTTATTTTTTTTTTTTTTTTTTGTAAATTTTTTTTTTGAAAAAAACACAAAAACAGCCTCCAGCTTATTGGAGTCAGTTTGTCGTATTGGCAGTTTTTGTTTACTTCTTTCGAACTTTAACTTCAGTTTATAATTTATGAGTTTATTATACCCATCGTTTGTAATAAGAAAATTTTTATTTATTTTCATTAAACCTTTGTAAGACATAAAGTTTTATTACCCTGTAAGTTGTTTTTTTTTTTTTTTTTTTTTGGTGGGTGCTTTAATGTGGAGTATAACAGGTTAAGGTAGTGTTTTCAAAAAAGTAACAGAATATGAATCATAATTCTTGAAAAAAAAAAACTTGAAAAAGGTTATTGTAATTTCAGTTCAGAAATTTGATGGAGATCAAAGTGACAATAACAATAACTAATTACAATTTGATTGTTTTTTTGAGGAAAAAAAAAACACTTAATAAACATTAAGTTAAATCATAAAAACAAATTGTATTGAAAAACAGTAGCAGAAGTATAATAAAATGTTTAATTATGAGTTCAAAAACATCTCTGAACTAAGTAAAAGCTAATTAGAATTTGAAATGTTAATATAGAACACATATTTTAAGATAAAATCGATTTTTAAATTATGTCTTAAAAAAATCATAAATTTATTTTGTAGTTTACAAAAAAAAGTAATAAACAAAGTTTGTATTTTCAACGCTTTTCAAATGTGAAGCGATTAGAGCAATTAATTTTCATCAAGAAAACAAATCCTACAGACTTATAAGACTAAATTAACATAGAATTTTATTAAAAATAACATTAAATACGACGACAGATGAATGATTAGGAGGAAAGTTAGTGTTAAAGGGAGTTTTTAAATTAATCACTGCCCTCTTCTTCCTCAGATTCTTCTTCAGAAGCGGAGGCTTCTTCCTCATCGTCTTCATCCTCTTCCTCCTCACTGGCTGGTTTCTTTTGTTTTTTATCGCCCTTCGATTTAGATTTATCGCTCTAAAAAAGTTAAATTTAAATTAATAAAAAAATATCAAAACTCCACAAACTCTACTCACTTTACTCTTCTTCTTTTCTGGCTCTGAATCTTCCTCGCCAGATTTATCTTTCTTTTTCTTGCTTTCCTCCGATGATGATGAATCATCCTCTGATATATATTCTTTAGATTTAAATGATCCTGAGGTATTTGCCGCCTTTTTGGTGGGTGATGCTTCCTTTTTACGTTTTTTGCTTGCCGCTTTACTACTACTTTTGGTGTTGTCTTTCTCCTCATCATCACTGTCATCGGCTGTTGGTTTATAGTCTTTCATTTCGTCTAAATATCTTTGTTTATCCTTGGCTGCCTTTTCTTCCCATTTGGATTTATCCTTTAGTTCTCTCCACATTTCACCGCCTTTTTTGGCAATTTCAGTTATTTTTATACCAGGATTGTCTTTTTTGATTTGTTCACGTGTATCATTGAGCCACAACATGAAGGCGGTGGTGGCTCGTTTGGGTTTGTTGGAATCTTTCTTTTTGGTGGGTTTTTTCTGAAAAAAAAGGAAACCAATTTTATGTTTTTGTATATTTTTATTCGAATAAATTTTGATACGAATAATTCTAAATTATTATTTAAATAAATTTTTTTTTTTGAAAAAATTTTATTCGAATAAATGTTTATCAAATAATTTTTATTCGAATAAATTTTTATTCGAAATTTTAATCGAATGTTTTATTTGAATACTTCTATAAAAAAAAATCTTTACAAAAGAGACACTTTTTCTATAGAAAAAGTCTCTACAAAATAGACACTACAAAAGAGACACTTTTTCTATAGAAAAAGTCTCTACAAAAGAGACACTTTTTCTATAGAAAAAGTCTCTACAAAAGAGACACTTTTTCTATAGAAAAAGTCTCTACAAAAGAGACACTTTTTCTATAGAAAAAGTCTCTACAAAAGAGACACTTTTTCTATAGAAAAAGTCTCTACCAAAGAGACACTTTTTCTATAGAAAAATTCTCTACAAAAGAGACACTTTTTCTATAGAAAAATTCTCTACAAAAGAGACACTTTTTCTATAGAAAAAGTCTCTACAAAAGAGACACTTTTTCTATAGAAAAAGTCTCTACAAAAGAGACACTTTTTCTATAGAAAAAGTTTCTACAAAAGAGACATTTTTTCCATAGAAAAAGTCTCTACATAAGAGATACTATTCCTATAGACACTTTTTCCGTAGAAAAGTCTCTATAAAAGAGGGACTTTTTCTATAGAAAAAGTCTATATAAAAGAGGGACTTTTTCTATAGAAAAACTCTCTATAAAAGAGACACTTTCTTTAGAGAAAGTCTCTCTAAAATAGACGCTTTTGTTGTAGAGAAAGTCTCTATAGAAAATGTTTTCTACAGAAAATGTTTTTAAATATTTCAATGAAAGAAAATGTTTCTCACACTCACCGATTTCTGTTTTCTCTCCACCTTTTCTTTTTTCTCTTTCTTCTCCTTCTTATGCTTCTTCTCACCACCACCATCACTGCCACTACCTTTGCCACTAGCATCTGAATCATCCGAATCACTTTGAGCATTTGAATCGTATTCCTCTGCCACATCCGATACGTCACCGGTAGGATTGAAATCTTCATCGGTAGATTCTTCTTCTGAACCCTCATCATCATCGGAATCTTTCTCTTGTGCTTCAGCTTTAACACGTGCCAAATAGGCATCGGGTTCATTTTCATTATCCGAATCACCGAAATCAACATCCTTATAGCCGCCCTTATTATCTTTACCCGTATTGCTAACATGCAGTTTCTTTTGACTAATAAAATCGTACAGTTTAGAATACTCTTCCTTTTCGATGGAGGAGAAAATGTGAATGGTGCCATTTTTGAGTGTTACTTCAAAATCAAAACTACGTGTTGAACCACCACTACGGGCAAAATTAACCGAGGCAATTTCCTCGAAACGTATGTGTATGGGTGGCTTGTGGATGTAAATGAAACCACGTTCTAAGGGATAGAGATAGCCAGCGGCAGCTTTAAAGGAACAGCCCACAGCAGCGGTGCCGGAGTGTCTATATAAAGAACAGTAAAATAAGTATGTTCTATGCATTAGTTTGTTTTCTAACTTACCCTATAAAATTGCCGGGTCCTGTAATCTTGCGTCCTATTAAAACTTTCATTACCTTGCCCATGACTTCATAGAGCGGGCCCGATATCTCTTTTTCCAATTTACCCTCATATTTCTCTTTTAATTCTTCCTCCGAGAAAGGCAATTCAATTGAAGTTTCCTCTTCGGGACTGAAGAGTAAAACCAAATAGTGGTAACGTGTTTGACCTTGTTTTATGGGAGGATCCAAAGACAAAACAAAGAACATTTGTCGATTGTCCTTATGAGGCAATAAAAACAAACGCAGCACTGAATCCATGGGAATTTTGTAATCAAAAGTTTTACCGTGCAGTTGGAAGAAGGTAGAGAAAACTTTAATATCATAACGACCTCTGGGCGTCAGACAATGAATCTCGCGGAATATAGCAATAGCATCACCCGAAGCAGATATAACCGAGGCTTTGTTCATAACATTTGTTTGGAATGTCTCCACGGGATCATCCTCAGCCGACTCCACTATGGGTATATGGAAACGCATTTCCATTAGACCCACAGGAGCATCATCATTCTGATGAAATTCTAAAGTTACCTCATTTTTACCAGTCATACATTGTGAAACATGTGACAAGGGCACTTCAAAGATGGTTTTGTGATCTTTGTCAAAACTAAGAACAGAACCCTGAAACTTGGCTGTACCCCAATTCCAACCCTTGACACACATTTCCTTTTCCACCAAATCCTGATTATAGGTTTTCTTAATGAATTTGCCCAGCTTTTCATTTTCACTATCCTTAAAGCCGACAAAACGATGTAAATTACCATTCTTGGTAAAGATTCTCAAACCCCAAGTGCCCACAAATTTCTGGGAATTAATTAAATCTATGTCATCGGCTGGAATTTGCTCCACTTTACCCGTTTTGCTATTCTTGAAAACAATTTGTTGTTCGGTCATTTTTAGACGTCCGGGAGTCTGAAAAACAACAAATAAAACATAAAGAATTACACAAAAATTTGTAACACACATTGTGTTGTCATGACACTTACCATTACTCCTCTGACTTCTGCCGAAATATCATATTCCAAAGTATCGCTCATAGTTTTTAATTATAATGCAACTGTTGTAGATTTGAATAATATTTAATTATTTCCTATATTTTTTGTCTATTTTCTAGAAACCGGCATGCGTTTTATTCCAAAAGACAAAAAAACAACGCTTTTTTTGTGCGCCCAAGAGTAGGAATGACAAGAGAATGATGCGAAAAAAAGCTGTTTTCTTTCTTTGCCAAAATGTCAAATTTGCTATCATAGCAATAATGAATGGCAAATGAAAAAAAGAAGAAGACCTGTAAAGGCATTTTTGCAACAGAGAGCTGCCAGATGATAACGTAAAGCGAAACAAACAACTGCTTTAAAAAATGCAAAAAAGATATAAAGGTAAGTTTATTTTATATTAAATTTTCCAGTAAAATTAAAAGTATATTTTTAAATTTAATTTATTAAAAAAACAATGTTTATATAAAAACTTTTCAATCGCAAAAATATGTTTAAAAAAAATATGGCAAGCTTTTTAAAAGTATGTGTGAGAGAGAGTGAAAAACCGGCTTTGTTTATGTTTACGAAATTTAAAGCTGGCAATACTGTGAGCAAAAGAAAAACATGTTGAAAAATTAACAAAAACAATAAAAAATTACACAAATTAAAGAAATTTTAAGGAATTATTAAACAATTTTAAGAAAATTAAAGAAAAATGGACAATGTAAGTATAAAACAAACTCCAAAACCCTTAATAAACTAATTCATTTAAGTTTTCTTTCACAATATCTAGGAAATGAAATCAAAAGTGGAAGCCTGCAGTCGTACGGCTGAGGATTTTACCAAATTATATTATCAATCTTTTGATAAAAGAAGACATGTAGGTATTTATGGGTGCAAAAAAATATAAAAACTATAATTTTAACTAACTAACTACAGCAAATGAACCGCCTCTACTTGGATAATGGTCTTTTTGTGTGGAATGGCAATGGTGCCTCCGGCAAAGACAATATACAGAAATACTTTATAGAATTGCCCACTTCGGAACATACTATTTCCACCTTGGATGCTCAACCTATTGTGGATGAGGCTGTGGCCGGACAATTAACCTATTTAATACAGGCCGGCGGCACTGTGAAGTATACTGATCAGCCGATGAAACCTTTTCAACAGACTTTTATTATAACAGCTCAGGATGATAAATGGAAGATTGCTAGTGATTGTTATCGTTTGCAGGATGCTTTAGTGACGCAAGATAATAAATCGTAGTTTTAAGTTGGAAAGTTTTTGATAATAAATATGATTTTTTTGTAAAATTACTAAATATAAAAGGTTTTTGTAAAAATAAAAGTTTAACAATTTGATAGTTTTAGTTATACGGGAAAGAATTCCAAGTGAAAATAGTTTTCTGGTAGTCTAGTCTATAGTATAACTAGATCGACATAGTCTGTTGCCCATAGTGTTAACTATTACCTATAGTCTAGATTAGTCCATAGTATAGCCGATTGTCTATAGTCTAGTCTAATAGTCTAGTCTATTCAATCGTCTAGTGGAAAGTTGATTCTATATTCTGATCTATAGTCTATTTTATGGACTAGTCTCTTTAATAGTACATTCTATAGTCTAGCTTTTTATAGTAAATAAATTTTATTTACTACTTTTTTAATAAAGTGTAAACTCGTCAAAAATCTCATTGCTACCTTCCATCACTAACACTAAAAACTCTCTTAAATACACTCTCTCCTTAAACATTACTCTCCACTACTGAAAACGAAAAAAAATAAGTTTCCCACCAACAATATATTGATTACTACTCGCCCCACTTGCAATTTACCCATACAAGCATATACTTTAGTAAGTTGCGCATACACATTAACATACTCCTTTTTAAGTTTTTGACATTTCTCTTTATTACTTGGATACATACTAAAGTTAGTTCTCGCGAAATTTTCACACGGTTCGGTTGGCTAGAAGAAGTGTCTTAGTTTTTATTTAAATTTTTAAAGAAAACATTGAAGTATATTTAAATATTTTTACATAAAAATATAATTAAAGCCTAGTTTTGTTGTTGTGTGAAAAAATTTTCTTAAAAATCTAAAAAGAAATGCATCTGCATGCAGAAGAAAAATTGTTAAAATTTTGTGAAAATTTTCTGTTTCCTTTTCACCCGGCATTTCGTAGCGCTTATACAAAGAGTGTAAAAGTGTTAGTGAGAAATGTTAAGAGAAAGAAAGCTTAAGAAAGCAGAGCAAATTAAAGTAAAGAAAAAAAAGCTTGAAGAAAATAAAAGAGGAAATATAGTAAAAGGGAAGAAATGTGTTTTGTTGTTTATTTTTTAAGTTCCTGTAATAATAGATGTTTCCTTTTGTTTACATAATGTGTGAGTTTAGTGCAGTGTTAAGTTGAAATGTTAAGATAAATATAATATCAATGTAAATAAAGCCAAATGCTAAAAATGTAAATAAATAAAATGAAGAAATAAAAAGTAGATAAGTGTTTAAAGAAAAAAATATGTGTGTAAAAATAAAAAATAAAGAAATATTGGAGATCTTACCTAAGAAGAAGAAAAGAAAAAAAATCAGTTGCACCGGATGTGGAAGTTATTAATAATGTAAGTAACATTTCCTAACAGAATGTTAAACATTTAAGTTTACAAATGTATTGAAATAGTGAATGGTTGTTGAATTTGCTAAATATATTAGTTGTGTTTTGTTGCTATCAATGTGTGTTAACGCTTAAAGTTAGCAACAAAACGAACATTACCTGACTTGGCATCACTCCACAGAAGAAATCTGCTAAATCTTGAAATTATTTACAATTTCTTGAAAAGGTTTTTTTATTTGGTAATTTTCTTTGATTTAAATTTTATTTTAAAATATTTTTTTATTGTTTGACATAAACACATTAATATTTGTATTTTTATTTTTGAATTGGTAGCACTTTTATCAACGTTAAAATTAACTTGTATAATTTTACACGTTAACTCCTAACGTTTATAAATTTTAAATTTATATGAAATTGCCTTTGAACGTTAGCAACAAAACACAACTATTAACAGATTGTTTTTGACCGTTGAAAAATGTTACCGGCCTTAACGTGGGCCTATAATTTTTTATTCGTGTAAAGATCTAAGTCTCCCTAAAATAGATAGATAGATAGATAGTTAGATTGATAGATAGATAGATAGATAGATAGATAGATAGATAGATAGATAGATAGATAGATAGATAGATATATAGATAGATAGATAGATAGATAGATAGATAGATAGATAGATAGATAGATAGATAGATAGATAGATAGATAGATAGATAGATAGATAGATATATATATATATATATATATATATATATATATATATATATATATATATATATATATATATATATATATATATATATATAGATATATATATAGATAGATAGATAGATAGATAGATAGATAGATAGATAGATAGATAGATAGATAGATAGATAGATAGATAGATAGATAGATAGATAGATAGATAGATAGATATATAGATAGATAGATAGTAGAGATAGATAGATAGATAGATAGATAGATATAGATAGATAGATAGATAGATAGATAGATATATAGATAGATAGATAGATAGATAGATAGATAGATAGATATATAGATAGATAGATAGATAGATAGATAGATAGATAGATAGATAGATAGATAGATAGATAGATAGATAGATAGATAGATAGATAGATAGATAGATAGATAGATAGATAGATAGATAGATAGATAGATAGATAGATAGATAGATAGATAGATAGATAGATAGATAGATAGATAGATAGATAGATAGATAGATAGATAGATAGATAGATAGATAGATAGATATAGATAGATAGATAGATAGATAGATAGATAGATAGATAGATAGATAGATAGATAGATAGATAGATAGATAGATAGATAGATAGATAGATAGATGGATAGATGAGATAGATAGATAGATAGATAGATAGATAGATAGATAGATAGATAGATAGATAGATAGATAGATAGATAGATAGATAGATAGATAGATAGATAGATGGATAGATAGATAGATAGATAGATGATAGATAGATAAATAGATAGATAGATAGATAGATAGATAGATAGATAGATAGATAGATAGATAGATAGATAGATAGATAGATAGATAGATAGATAGATAGATAGATAGATAGATATAGATAGATAGATAGATAGATAGATAGATAGATAGATAGGTAGATAGATAGATAGATAGGTAGATAGATAGATAGATAGATAGATAGATAGATAGATAGATAGATAGATAGATAGATAGATAGATAGAGATAGATAGATAGATAGATAGATAGATAGGTAGATAGATAGATAGATAGATAGATAGATAGATAGATAGATAGATAGATAGATAGATAGATAGATAGATAGATAGATAGATATATAGATAGATAGATAGATAGATAGATAGATAGATAGATAGATAGATAGATAGATAGATAGATAGATAGATAGATAGATAGATAGATAGAATAGATAGATAGATAGATAGATAGATAGATAGATAGAGATATAGATAGAGTATAGATAGATAGATAGATAGATAGATAGATAGATAGATAGATAGATAGATAGATAGATAGATAGATAGATAGATAGATAGATAGATAGATAGATAGATAAATATAAAGATAGATAGTCTTAGGTGGAAATGTCAAATATTATTCCTGAAATTTTAGGAAAATTATAAAATAATGCTATTGCTATTGAACCACAATAAAACAATTTGAAGATGTTGCATCATGACTTTTCTTAATTTTTTTCTTTTATTTCATTTTAATTTCATCATTTTATTGGTATATCACTTTTAAACCTTCACAAAATCTTCCTTCTTAAATATAACTATCTTTATTTTCCACAAATACACTTTTCTTTCCTTACTATAAAAGCGATTATATCAATCTCTAGACTATTTTCCCTCGTTTACTCCTTCTTGGCCTTTTTATTATCCGGCTCTCCCTCCTCACTACCCTCGGTGGGTACGGAAAATACCGGTTTAGGTTGGGTCTGTTTATAAGCCGGTGCTATCCAATAGGGATTTTCAGCAGCCTCTTTAGCATACTTTAGAATAGCTTCACGTGGATCTTGATCATCATCCACACGTTTGCTAAGACCCAAGTTACGTATAACATAGGAACTGAGGGTGCCACCTGAACTAGCCACTCTGCCACCTTGGCCACTGGTAATGGGCAGATCTGGCCGGTGTGATTTAACCGGATCCATACGTTCCTTTTCCATTTTCTTGCGTGACGATCTTGATTTCTCTTGTCGGAACATGGGCAGGGCATGCGGTGTTATTATCTGTGAAACACCCACCACTTCAGTGTGTTTTTTCTTACGATAAGTTTTAACCACACACAATTTGGCACCACGAAGACTTCTCTGCTCGTCATAATAACACTTGATGACACCATTGCCACAGCCCACAAATAGTTGATTGAGTTTAGGATGCCATAGAGTTTTTATAATGTGAGAATCAGTTACCGGTATACGTTTAACTTCTTCAAAAGTTTGTGTATTATAGAAGTATAGGTTGGCATGGGTTTGTCCCTTAGGCAATGATTCGCCTGTAACTAAAAGCCTATCGTCAGGACTGAAACAACAGTCGGTGGTGTCATAGCGTGAAAACAAATTCGACCAGGTGTGTATGGGCTTTTTGAAATTACGCAAATCCCATAATTTCATAGTTTCATCGTTCGAGCGTGTGGATAATTGTTGGCCCATATAGGAAAATTGTATGGAGGTTACTTCAGAACCCTTCTGATGCGCATCCCTAACACAGTGTGTCGTATTGACAAACATTTTGCGAGTATCCCAGGTTTGTATAGAACCATCTAAACAACCGGCCGCAATTAAAGTAGCATCCCGATTATAAATACAAGAACCAGCATTAGTTCTTAAGCCCCCCTGAGCTCTGGTCTTGATGACAGTATGTTGTTCTTTATTTTTAATACCCTTCCAAATTCTGAGAGTGCCATCCATGGCAGCGGTTAGAAATTCTTCTTTGGTATAAGGATGCCAACAGCCTGAAGTTAACTGTGCCACATGGCCTTTAGTGCGCGACATATCAGTTAAATAAGGATCTCCCTTAACACATTCCATTTTCTCAAAACCATCACGATCTAAGATTTTAGCTTGTGAATTACCCGATATAACCAAAATCATATCGCCAGTAATGGAATAATGCAGAGCTCGTATGGGATAATTTTCACATGGCTGTATAGTACGGAAACTTCGCATTGAAGAATCCATGCCGGCAAAATCCCAAAAACTTATTTCATAATCTATTGAACCGGATACTAAGCGAGCACCAGCCGGGTCACCGGCTAAAGCTAAAATAGCTTTGTTGCCATGTTGCATTTGAACTTCATGAGTATCGGGTATTCTTTTTTCTAAATTCATATCCTCCTCATCGTCTTCATCATCGTCATCATCATCATCGTCTTCCTCGTTATCACCTTTTTGCTTCTCCACCTTTTTCTTGGTATTATCAGCATCTGCCATAGTAGGCATAGGTCCTATAACATCTTCATCCTCACTGTCATTTTCTCCTTCCTCCGGTTCTACTCTTACGGGTGCCGATTCTTTGGCCTTGGCAATTTGTTCCTTTAAAAGAAAATATCATTATTGTTTTATAAAGTCCTTCGCCTTTCTCTACACTTACATTTATATCAAATATCTTGGCTGTCTTCCTGCCAAAACCCGTCAACCCCATGACTTCTTTTAGTTTTTGTGCTTCCAAATCATCAGCCACCTCCTCGATTTGTTTTTGCATTTGTTGTTTATCAATTTTTCGAAAACCTCCTGCTGAAGTTGTTGCTTTTTCTGTGTCTGTTTCATTTTCTTCTTCTTTCTTTTCAGCAGGTTTATTGAGATTTAAATTAATTTTACCAAAGGCAATTTTACCCCTTTGCATTTTGTGCAAATTCTTTGACTTTTTCTTTAAAAAAAATTGTAATTTTTAATTATCTATCTTAAACAAAATTTACTGTTTTCACTACACTTTTTCCGGTTAGTTTAAATGTAAACAAATAACAGCTGGGATTTTTTACACATACAGGGTTGTATTTTTTGTTAGTGATTGTGAGTAAAAGTAATCGGTTATTAATGGTAAATTGTTATCATAATTTCATATATTTTCTATAAAAAAAAGCAATTTAATTAAAATTTATAAAATAAGGAATTTTAACTTAATACCATGTATCAACTTTTTATAGATAATTAGCTTGTTAGCAGAATTATCTTGTTAATTCAGAATTTTAGCTCAATTACAGCTAATATTTATCAGATGTGTCGGACCCTCCATAGACCAATTGAAAATAATCGAGCCCTTAAATTATTAATTAAAAAGAAATTCGTAATTTCATTATAAATTGTATATTTTTTTAATTTAAACTCTTATTTGCATCGTATTACTATTATTAGCGTTCTAGCAATATCCTGACCACAAAAAATTGCTCATCCACTAGGTATAAATCTTAGCAAGCCTATTTCGATAATTCATTTCAAGTTTAACACTCTTTCTGTGAATACCTTAGTATAATTACTTATAAGGAAATCTATAAAAGAACATTAATTTTGACAGTTCTAGTCAAAATAAGGTTCATATACTTATATAAACTCTCTCGCTAAACACACAGTGTAAGTCTATGTTATTAAAAATGGAAAGCAGAAGAATAACTAATTATAGAGGTATTATTGCTCTCATCTCAAAAGTTCAGGCCAATAATGAAGTAAGTTAAAAACAATATTATATTCGGCAGTGCCAAATCTTATATAACATCCATCAAAATTTTTTACTCAAATTATAGACCAGACCAAAGACTGGACTATAGAACGGACTAACGACTGGGCGATAGACTCTGGCCTTTGTATGGACTCTGGACTAGACTATAGACCGAAATAATGAGTCTGGAATAGACCAGAATATAGACAACACTATAGACTAGACTATAGACTACACAATATACTAGACTATAGACTAAACTAGAGACTAGACTAAGTACTATGGAATAAACTATAATAATATATACTATGGAATGGAACTATATACTATGGAATAAACTAAAGAATATACTACAGACTAGACTACAGACTAGACTATAGCATAGACTATAGACTAGACTATAGACTAGACTATAGACTAGACTATAGACTAGACTATAGACTAGACTATAGACTAGACTATAGACTAGACTATAGACTAGACTATAGACTGACTATAGACTAGACTATAGACTAGACTATAGACTAGACTATAGACTAGACTATAGACTAGACTATAGACTAGACTATAGACTAGACTATAGACTAGACTATAGACTAGACTATAGACTAGACTATAGACTAGACTATAGACTAGACTATAGACTAGACTATAGACTAGACTATAGACTAGACTATAGACTAGACTATAGACTAGACTATAGACTAGACTATAGACTAGACTATAGACTAGACTATAGACTAGACTATAGACTAGACTATAGACTAGACTATAGACTAGACTATAGACTAGACTATAGACTAGACTATAGACTAGACTATAGACTAGACTATAGACTAGACTATAGACTAGACTAGACTATAGACTAGACTAGACTAGACTAGACTAGACTAGACTAGACTAGACTAGACTAGACTATAGACTAGACTAGACTAGACTAGACTATAGACTAGACTATAGACTAGACTATAGACTAGACTATAGACTAGACTATAGACTAGACTATAGACTAGACTATAGACTAGACTATAGACTAGACTATAGGCTAGACTATAGACTAGACTATAGACTAGACTATAGACTAGACTATAGACTAGACTATAGACTAGACTATAGACTAGACTATAGAACTAGACTATAGACTAGACTATAGACTAGACTATAGACTAGACTATAGACTAGACTATAGACTAGACTATAGACTAGACTATATACCTAGACTATAGACTAGACTATAGACTAGACTAGTAGACTAGACTATAGCACTAGACTATAGACTAGACTATAGACTAGACTATAGACTAGACTATAGACTAGACTATAGACTAGACTATAGACTAGACTATAGACTAGACTATAGACTAGACTATAGACTAGACTATAGACTAGACTATAGACTAGACTATAGACTAGACTATAGACTAGACTATAGACTAGACTATAGACTAGACTATAGACTAGACTATAGACTAGACTATAGACTAGACTATAGACTAGACTATAGACTAGACTAGACTATAGACTAGACTATAGACTAGACTATAGACTAGACTAGATAGACTAGACTATAGACTAGACTAGACTATAGACTAGACTATAGACTAGACTATAGACTAGACTATAGACTAGACTATAGACTAGACTATAGACTAGACTATAGACTAGACTATAGACTAGACTATAGACTAGACTATAGACTAGACTATAGACTAGACTATAGACTAGACTATAGATTAGACTAGACTATAGACTAGACTATAGACTAGACTAGACTATAGACTAGACTATAGACTAGACTATAGACTAGACTATAGACTAGACTATAGACTAGACTATAGACTAGACTATAGACTAGACTATAGACTAGACTATAGGCTAGACTATAGACTAGACTATAGACTAGACTATAGACTAGACTATAGACTAGATTATAGACTAGACTATAGACTAGACTATAGACTAGACTATAGACTAGACTATAGACTAGACTATAGACTAGACTATAGACTAGACTTTAGACTAGACTATAGACTAACTAAGACTAAGACTATACCTATAGAACTAGACTATAGACTAGACTATAGCTAACTAAGACTATACTATAGACTAGACTATAGACTATACTATAGACAGACTATAGACTAAGACTAATGACTAGACTATGACTAGACTTAGACGAGACTATAGACTAGACTATAGACTAGACTAATAGACTAGACTATGACTAGACCTATAGACTAGACTATAGACCCGGCTATAGACTAGACTATAGACTAGAACTATAAGACCGGACTAAGAGACTAGACTATAGACTAAGACTATAGACTAGACTAGAGACTAGACTATAGACTAGACTATAGACTAGACTATAGACTAGACTATAGACTAGACTATAGACTAGACTATAGACTAGACTATAGAACTAGACTATAGACTAGACTATAGACTAGACTATAGACCAGACAAAGACCAGACTATAGACCTAGACTATAAGAACTAGATAATTCGATGTTGGGCATAAAATATAATTTTTCCATTTGGGATTTATTTAATCTGGTTCTTACGCAGATACAACTATACGAGGCTTTTTTAAAACGTAATATTTGTAAATTTTGTGCCGCCTTAGAAAAAAATGAAAATCCTTTCAAGAAACTGCCGGATCAAGATTTGTGTGTATTCTATCAAGCTTTACAGACGCCCGGTTGTTCAGCATTTATAAAAGAATCTTTGAAAGCTGTTTTTCATATACCGAAAGTAAGTATTAAAAGTGTACAATATAAATGACAGTTGTTAAACTTTTTCTTTAAAGGATCCCTACTTTTTTTACAAAGCTACAAAATTTGCATGTAACTCAGAAGATCCTGACAACTTCGAAGCACTTTGCAGTTATAAAACTGTTGTATATATGGATTTATTCCTACTTGATACATTGACCAAGAAACTTAACAATGACAATGTTATGAACTTAAAACAATTCATACAATATGCCCTACGTTTTGGTGTATCACCCAATATAGCGCAACAAGAGGAAATAACTCCTCTACATAATGTTATAGAAAATATACATTTAGATTATGCTAATAAATGGCAAATTATACAAATATTTCTGCTTTATCCAGACATTGATATCGATACCTTTAGGCAGGGTGAAGTGAGAAATATATTGGAAAGGGATTATCCGAATATAAAATTGCCGGAGCGAATAACCACAATTAAATCCCTAAAGAATTGCTTAAAATCGAGTAATATTAAGCGATTTAATTTAATCTATTCTGAACATTTACACACTAATAGTGGAGAGGACGTTAATAATGTATTGTTATTGGAATCGATAGTGCTAGAAGAAGATGAAGCTTTTGATATTATTTTTCGTATTTTAAAAGATAATGTCCCGTACGAATCAGTTTGCTTATTTATTCAAATTGCTTACGAAACTGGAAATGCCCGGGCTTTATATAAGCTTTTAACAATTCATGATATAAAACTTTATCCAAATTTGTTTAAAGATTTTGTTAATTATCTGTTTCGTAAATCAAGACATGATGTAACACTCTATAACAAAATTTTAAATTGTTTTTACTTTATATTGGATTTTGAACAAATTGATATCAATGAACTGGACTATTATGAAGGCACTGCCCTTCATAGGGCCATACAACAAGGTTATGTTGATTTGACAAAAATTCTTTTAAAAAAAGGAGCTAACCTTTGTATTAAACATGATAAACAGCAAATACCTTTAATTAGCCTACCACCGGCCATATTGGAAGAACATTTAGATGACTGTATTACCACTAACTGGTACTTTGGTAGTGATCCAGAAACGACTGAAATAAAGATTAGTTTTAAAAACTTTAACACCAAGAAATGGAATGTAATTATATCGAAACAAGTTTTACCAGCGATAGCTTGTATGGCCAAATCGCCAACACATCGTTACCTATTACAGCATCCAGTTATATCCAGTATTTTACACCTCAAATGGCAAAAAGCTTCTTATATATTCTACACAAATTTCTATCTTTGTTTGTTCTTTATCGTCTCCATTATAACACATATCATATTGAACATTAGCCTTGGTAATCATGAGACTGCTGTAGGAATATCACTTACGTGTTCCTGCTTAGGCATGACATACTTGTTTATTAGGGAATGTATACAATTTGTAATATCACCTTGGAAGTACTTGAAATGTTTTCGCAATTATATGGAAATCTTGTTAATAATATTTGCCATATTAAGTTGTTTGTATAGCAATAGAGACCTGGAGGTAGCTTGTATTTTACTCTTGGCCTATGAGTTATTTTGCTTGGTTGGCTCATTACCCATTGCTGTCATTTCCACGCATATGCTAATGCTGGAGACTGTATGCATAAGTTTTATCAAGAGTTTCCTCTTCTACTCAATATTCATATTCACATTTACCTTGTGTTTTTATATCAAAAGTGATCAAGAATCTGATAAAGCGTCAGTTATAAGCAGCGAGGAGGAATTCAATAGATTCTCTACTCCTATGAAAGGCTTTTTCAAGACAATTGTCATGTTTATCGGAGAAATTGATGCCAGCAACTTAAATCTGGACTCCAGTTACAGTTTGTTGCTGTTTCTCTCCTTCATTTTATTCATGACATTAATATTGTTTAATCTGCTCAATGGTCTGGCGGTAAGTGATACTCAGGAAATTAGAAATCAAGCGGAATTTAATGGTATTATCTGTCGCATCAATTCGTTGATGACCCATGAAAATGTTTTTTTAAATCAATCTTCGATTTATTTATGGTTTTTGCTAAAAATTCGAAGATTTCCTTTCATATGGAGACATTTTGCCAAACTACTTCCCGACTTCTCTACTGAAGTCAACTTTTTGTCCAATGATAAAAATAAGATAATTCAAATAGCTGCCAATAAAGAGAATGTTTGTAGAAATAAAATTTCCGTTTCCCAAGATTACTTTGTTATTCAAATCGAAAGCAACGTCGAGGTTCATGTTAATAGATCAAAAAAACTTTATTTTTGTTCCTGGTTTTCTCGTCTTACTACTAAAAGGTGTTCAACAATGGATGAGCGTACGTCGGCTCAAGCATTAGCAGTTTTAAATAAAAAATCTGCTTTACATATTTAACCTTAATTTTAACGTACTTAATTTAATTTTTAGAATATTTTTTATGTTATATGTATAATTTTTAATGTTAAAATAAATTAGTAAAAAAATAAAAACTACATTTAATGTAATCCTTTAAATGGGTCCATTATTTTCACAATATCAGCTAAAACAAATGCAGATTCAAACGACATTCAAAGAGATGCCATAAATACTGTGTTATAGGGACTTGGAAGTCAACCCCTACTGGTCTCACATAGACCATGCTAATCTCAATGTTGGTCCAATATGTGGTCAGAATCTTTATGATACACCCCACATATTCTTCAACTGTCCAGACTTTGTTTACATCCCCGGGGCCATGAGGTCCAAATTCAATGCTTCAACACGACTACACTGTGAATTGTTAACTTTGTGATCTTCGTCCATAAATCGTTAGTTTTTTTTTTTTTTTGGACGGAAACATAAAATCGCTTCAATTTCATTAAAACGTGTTTAAACTGAGGCATATGTATTTCTGATCAATTATAGTTTAAATATATGTATATCTTGTCTATAGTCTAGTATATAATCTGGACTATAATAAGTTCTTTAGTCTGTACTAGTAGTAGCAATATCTATAATCTGGACTATTGTCTCGTCTATGGTCCGGACTATAGTCTCATCTATAATCTGAACTAATATATTCTATAGTTTGAACTATAATCTAGTTTACAGTCTAGTCTTAAGTATGGACAATAGTCAACTACATAGTATGGACTATAGTCTAGTCTATAATCTGGACTATGACCTAGTCTATAGTTTGGACTATAGTATCGTCTATAGTCTATACTAGAGTCCAGTCTATAGTCTGAAATATAGTATAAACAATAGTCTGCAATATATTATAGTCAACAATATAGTCTGTAGTCTTATCATTCGTCTGCGGACAAGACACTAGTCTATAATTTGGTCTAGTCCATGGTCTGGACTATTGTCTGATCTATAATCTGGACTAAGTATAATATATTCTATAGATTGGACTATAATCTAGTCTAGTCTTAAGTTTGGACAATAGTCAAGTCAAGAATCTGGAGTATGACTATAGTGTCGTCCAAAGTCGAGTCTATAGTCTAGTCCATAGTTTAGTCTATAGTCTAGTCAATAGTCTAGTCTATAGTCAAGTCTATGTCTTGTCTATAGTCTAGTCTATAGTCCAGTCTATAGTCTAGTCTATAGTCTAGTCTATAGTCTAGTCTATAGTCTAGTCTATAGTCTAGTCTATAGTCTAGTCTATAGTCTAGTCTATAGTCTAGTTTATAGTCTAGTCTATAGTCTAGTCTATAGTCTAGTCTATAGTCTAGTCTATAGTCTAGTCTATAGTCTAGTCTATAGTCTAGTCTATAGTCTAGTCTATAGTCTAGTCTATAGTCTAGTCTATAGTCTTGTCTATAGTCTAGTCTATAGTCTAGTCTATAGTCTAGTCTATAGTCTAGTCTATAGTCTAGTCTATAGTCTAGTCTATAGTCTAGTCTATAGTCTAGTCTATAGTCTAGTCTATAGTCTAGTCTATAGTCTAGTCTATAGTCTAGTCTATAGTCTAGTCTATAGTCTAGTCTATAGTCTAGTCTAGTCTATAGTCTAGTCTATAGTCTAGTCTATAGTCTAGTCTATAGTCTAGTCTATAGTCTAGTCTATAGTCTAGTCTATAGTCTAGTCTATAGTCTAGTCTATAGTCTAGTCTATAATCTAGTCTATAGTCTACTCTAGCCTATAGTCTAGTCTATAGTCTAGTCTATAGTCTACTCTAGTCTTAGTTTAGTCTATAGTCCAGTCTATAGTCTAGTCTATAGTCCAGTCTATAGTCTAGTCTATAGTCTAGTCTAATCTATAGTCTAGTCTAGTCTATAGTCTAGTCTATAGTCTAGTCTGTAGTCTAGTCTATAGTCTAGTCTAGTAGTCTATAGTCTAGTCTATAGTCTAGTCTATAGTCTAGTCTATAGTCTAGTCTATAGTCTAGTCTATAGTCTAGTCTATAGTCTAGTCTATAGTCTAGTCTATAGTCTAGTCTATAGTCTAGTTTATAGTCTATAGTCTAGTTTATAGTCTAGTCTATAGTCTAGTCTATAGTCTAGTCTATAGTCTAGTTTATAGTCTAGGCTATAGTCTAGTCTATAGTCTAGTTTATAGTCTAGTCTATAGTCTAGTCTATAGTCTAGTCTATAGTCTAGTCTATAGTCTACTCTAGTCTATAGTCTAGTCTATAGTCTACTCTAGCCTATAGTCTAGTCTATAGTCTAGTCTATAGTCTACTCTAGTCTTAGTCTAGTCTATAGTCTACTCTAGTCTATAGTCTAGTCTATAGTCTACTCTAGTCTTTGTCTAGTCTATAGTCTACTCTAGTCTTAGTCTAGTCTATACACTAGTCTAGTGTATAGCCTAGTCTATAGTCTAGTTATGTTAGTTAGATGGTTGGAACTACCCTATATCGTGGACGAATAAATTGTTGTTGGCAGAGTTATTCAATATCACGACTTTAAAGAGAGTTGTTCTTGCATGATCACCCTACAAACTGTGCGCATTTAAATTTATTTATTTACCTGTGATTATGCTATAATTTCTTTGAGAACTTTCAACAAATTAAAAAAAAAAATAATTCTTTAAAATGTATATCTTATACATATATTTTTTATTTAAGCATAAAATTGTTCCTTAAGTTGAAACCTTAAAACTAAACTATAATTACTTAAAAAAACTACGATTAAAAACTATTATTTCTTGGAATTTAAAAGATCACAAATATTTTCTCATATTGGGTTAAAAACAAAAAAATTAATTTAAATAATAATTAACAAAATAACTATTTGTTAGAATAATTATTTTAAAGCTTAATACACTTTAAAATTTAAAAATTTCTCAACAGATTTCAAATAAATGCTTAAGAAAGAAATCCATGAAAAGGCCCTAGAAGTATAAATTTATTTGGAAAATTTGTGTTTAATAATAACAAAAAGCCTCTTTAAAATCTTCTTTAAAGAAGATTTAAAGAACATTTACACAATTAAGATATAAAGTTAGCCGTTTAATTTAAGAATGACACATTTCGAGGGCTTTCGAGGCCCGATGGCGAGGTTAAAATGGTTTATATACGAATTATTTTGAGGTAGAAATGTCTACGCTTTACTAGCATTATCTTTGGTGGCTACCATCTTATAGCTTTTGTCTCTCTTAAACCACAGCCAATTGTTTTCATTGAAATAGTCTTCGATTTGTTCCAAACTTCTGCCCTTAGTTTCGGGTTGGAAAAGCCACATAAATATCGAAACCACAAAACTGGCTACGGCAAAGATCATGAAAACACCCTTCATTCTAATGGACAAATGGATGAGTGGGAAGGCTTTGGTAAAAGCGAAGAGAGCCACATTCATGGCAGCAAATACAGCGCCGGCAGTACGACCTCTTATTTTAGCGGGGAACAGTTCACCAATCATAATGCCCGGCATTACCATCAGTGAGGTATTGAAGGAAATATAAATGAGTAAACAAACTCCAGCAACTATAACATCAGCTCCTCCCTTGGGCTGACCCTCACGCACAAACATATAAACACTTAAGGTCAAACAGCTAAGACCCGAACCAATACCGGACAATATTAAAATACGACGTCTTCTCACAAACAGCAAAATCACACAGAACATAACGGTGCAAACCATTCTCACTACAGCAGTCCAAATAGCAGCCGCCTTGGTATCGAACTCTGCTCCAAACTCAGATATAATATCAATAGCATAGAATACCACAATAAAGGTACCAGAAGCAATTTGTAAAAATGAAAATACTATAACAATGACTAAAGGTTTAATGGCAACTCTTTGACAGCACAATTTGAATATGTTCTCATTTGTTTTGGTGCTGGCCACTTCCTTATCTAATCTTTCTTTCATTTCATTAATTTCTTTTTGGGCAACAATCTCATTGCCTCTTAGGAATGTTAAAGCTTTATGGGCTTTCTCGGTTTTATTATGTCTCAATAGCCAAGCAGGACTTTCGGGTATAAAGAATATGGCGAGTGCAGCTACAGCGGGTAATATATTGCCACACCAGGCCACACCTCTCCAGTGTAGAGCCGAACCTAGGGCATAAACGATAAGTATACCCATAGAGTAGGAGACAAAGGGAGCGCCAATTAGTAGGCCACGCAAATTTGGTTCAGCAGTTTCGGCAATATAAACCTGGAAGGAAAGAGAAGAGGTGGGATATTAATAACCGTTTTCAAGTTCAGTTCTACATATTATTGTATTTCTAGTCCGATTTCAGTTATCTCCATTTCAGTTTAATTCAGTTCTAGTTTAGTTTTAGTTCAGTTGTAGTTCAGCCCTATTTCATTTCTAAATCAGTTCTTGTATAGTTCCAGTTCAGCTCTAGTTCAGTTCTAATTCATTTCTAGTTAAGTTGTAGTTCAGTTCTAGGTCAGTTCTAGTTCTTGTTAAGTTCTAGTTCAGTTCTAGTTCAGTTCTAGTTTAGTTCTAGTTTAGTTCTAGTTCAGTTCTAGTTCAGTTCTAGTTCAGTTCTAGTTCAGTTCTAGTTCAGTTCTAGTTCAGTTCTAGTTCAGTTCTAGTTCAGTTCTAGTTCAGTTCTAGTTCAGTTCTAGTTCAGTTCTAGTTCAGTTCTAGTTCAGTTCTAGTTCAGTTCTAGTTCAGTTCTAGTTCAGTTCTAGTTCAGTTCTAGTTCAGTTCTAGTTCAGTTCTAGTTCAGTTCTTCTTCAGTTCTAGTTAGTTCTAGTTCAGTTCTAGTTCAGTTCTAGTTCAGTTCTAGTTCAGTTCTAGTTCAGTTCTAGTTCAGTTCTAGTTCAGTTCTAGTTCAGTTCTAGTTCAGTTCTAGTTCAGTTCTAGTTCAGTTCTAGTTCAGTTCTAGTTCAGTTCTAGTTCAGTTCTAGTTCAGTTCTAGTTCAGTTCTAGTTCAGTTCTAGTTCAGTTCTAGTTCAGTTCTAGTTCAGTTCTAGTTCAGTTCTAGTTCAGTTCTAGTTCAGTTCTAGTTTCAGTTCTAGTTCAGTTCTAGTTCAGTTCTAGTTCAGTTCTAGTTCAGTTCTAGTTCAGTTCTAGTTCAGTTCTAGTTCAGTTCTAGTTCAGTTCTAGTTCAGTTCTAGTTCAGTTCTAGTTCAGTTCTAGTTCAGTTCTAGTTCAGTTCTAGTTCAGTTCTAGTTCAGTTCTAGTTCAGTTCTAGTTCAGTTCTAGTTCAGTTCTAGTTCAGTTCTAGTTCAGTTCTAGTTCAGTTCTAGTTCAGTTCTAGTTCAGTTCTAGTTCAGTTCTAGTTCAGTTCTAGTTCAGTTCTAGTTCAGTTCTAGTTCAGTTCTAGTTCAGTTCTAGTTCAGTTCTAGTTCAGTTCTAGTTCAGTTCTAGTTCAGTTCTAGTTCAGTTCTAGTTCAGTTCTAGTTCAGTTCTAGTTCAGTTCTAGTTCAGTTCTAGTTCAGTTCTAGTTCAGTTCTAGTTTAGTTCTAGTTTAGTTCTAGTTCAGTTCTAGTTCAGATCTAGTTCAGTTCTAGTTCAGTTCTAGTTCAGTTCTAGTTCAGTTCTAGTTCAGTTCTAGTTCAGTTCTAGTTCAGTTCTAGTTCAGTTCTAGTTCAGTTCTAGTTCAGTTCTAGTTCAGTTCTAGTTCAGTTCTAGTTCAGTTCTAGTTCAGTTCTAGTTCAGTTCTAGTTTAGTTCTAGTTCAGTTCTAGTTCAGTTCTAGTTCAGTTCTAGTTCAGTTCTAGTTCAGTTCTAGTTCAGTTCTAGTTCAGTTCTAGTTCTAGTTCAGTTCTAGTTCAGTTCTAGTTCAGTTCTAGTTCTAGTTCAGTTCTAGTTCAGTTCTAGTTCTAGTTCAGTTCTAGTTCAGTTCTAGTTCAGTTCTAGTTCAGTTCTAGTTCAGTTCTAGTTCAGTTCTAGTTCAGTTCTAGTTCAGTTCTAGTTCAGTTCTAGTTCAGTTCTAGTTCAGTTCTAGTTTAGTTCTAGTTCAGTTCTAGTTCAATTCTAGTTCAGATCTAGTTCAGTTCTAGTTCAGTTCTAGTTCAGTTCTAGTTTAGTTCTAGTTCAGTTCTAGTTCTAGTTCAGTTCTAGTTCTAGTTCAGTTCTAGTTCAGTTCTAGTTCAGTTCTAGTTCAGTTCTAGTTCAGTTCTAGTTCAGTTCTAGTTCAGTTCTAGTTCAGTTCTAGTTCAGTTCTAGTTCAGTTCTAGTTCAGTTCTAGTTCAGTTCTAGTTCAGTTCTAGTTCAGTTCTAGTTCAGTTCTAGTTCAGTTCTAGTTCAGTTCTAGTTCAGTTCTAGTTCAGTTCTAGTTCAGTTCTAGTTCAGTTCTAGTTCAGTTCTAGTTCAGTTCTAGTTCAGTTCTAGTTCAGTTCTAGTTCAGTTCTAGTTCAGTTCTAGTTCAGTTCTAGTTCAGTTCTAGTTCAGTTCTAGTTAGTTCTAGTTCAGTTCTAGTTCAGTTCTAGTTCAGTTCTAGTTCAGTTCTAGTTCAGTTCTAGTTCAGTTCTAGTTCAGTTCAGTTCTAGTTCAGTTCTAGTTCAGTTCTAGTTCAGTTCTAGTTCAAGTTCAGTTCTAGTTCAGTTCTAGTTCAGTTCTAGTTCAGTTCTTCTTCAGTTGTAGTTCAGTTCTAGTTAAGTTCTAGTTCAGTTCAAGTTCAGTTCTACTCCAGTTCTACTTCAGTTCTAGTTCAGTTTTGGTTCAGTTCTAGTTCAGTTCTAGGTTCTAGTTCAAACCTATTTCAGTTCTAGTTCAGTTTTAGTTCAGTTGTAATTCAGTTCTAGTTCAAAAATATTTATGAAGTCGATAGCAAGAGTGGCATCGCGAAAAAGAGAATTAAAATTAATCACTCACAATAAAAACAAATCAATCACAATTATTAACAAACATCAGGGTTAAACTTTAATATGAACTGAAATCTTATTAAATTGCTGTTCATTTCACTTGTTCTATATAAAAAAAATAAGATAATAGTAAACAAAATTTTAACTATTCATATGTCTAGTTATCACAATGTCTAAGGTTAAAAATCCGGAACTTATTTGCATAAGCAAAATAAAAACAACAAGCAGGCTTTTAACCGCCATATTCTTAAAGCCTCTCTCTACCTCCCTCTTTTAAGAAAAAAGTTCTCACATAAAAAAAATAAACGAAAACAAAAACAAACTAACAAACAAGAGATCGAGAGACAAGACTTAGAAAAAAGTCATGGACATTTTCATAAGATAAAATATCACAATAGAAATCTTTTATAGAAAACAAACTTTAAAGAATCATTATTTACACTATATAATAGTGATATTATTATTGTTGTTATGATTATATGTTTGTTTGTATTTTTTTGTGTTGGATGTCATTTAAGTGACGTTTAAATGATCTAGTTGTGATGTACTATTGTCGGAAGTTTTCAGCTATAGCTAAAGAAATTTCAATTTTGATCTATTTCCATAATAATAGCAACAACAATTGTGCGGAAACTAAATGAAATTTTTGTGCAAATTCTTTAAAAAAAGAGAGACCAGAAATGTGTTTATATTTTTAGTCATTTTTAAATCTTGAACCTGACTCTTAAAAGTTCAAGGTCGTAAGAAATAAATAACACTTCATATTTAATAGAATCACAATAGTGGAAAAATAGTTTAGCAGGTTACTAGAGCATTTTAGTTAAAGTGAATGACCCATATTTGTTCTTTCTTTTTTGTAAATTTATTGGAACTATCATAGTGGAATGGTATACGTGATAAACTAAACATAGTGATAGTAAAAATTATACTATAATTTATAAAAAAACAACATTTTTCTCAAAGAAATAATGATTTTAAAGAAGGTTTCTATGACAGTTTTGACAGATGTCTAAATGCTAATTGTTTTGATTTAAAAAGAAATAGAGGTTTTTGACTTAAGGTAGTTGAAGGTTGGTTGATTGGGGTGTTGTTGATTCTTAGAAGTATTTGTTAAAATAATTATAATTTAGAACGATCTAGAAGAGTAAAAACTTAAAAACTTCTGTTTAATTTATCAGTTCAAACTTCTAAATTCTCGATAAAATCAGAAAATAATTCCTAATTCGCTCAAACTTTCTATTTTTAAAGAAATTCCTTAAATTTCTTTTAAAAATTCTATTTAAATCCTTGATTTCTTATTTCTGCTTACCTGTGCCGGTCCACCCAATATGCCGGTGGCAAAACCACACAATAAACGTCCTATCAACAGCATAGTATAGGATTGTGATAAAGCCAATACACACCAACCGGCGAATAGGGGTAAAACTGAAACCAATAAAGCCGAACGTCTGCCCATATAATCGGCCATGGGTCCCGATAAAAATGAACCAATAGGTGTGGCTAAACTATGGACACTAGCTGTTAAAAGATAAATTAAATAGTTAGATAGAGATTTCTTAAAATTTTAAGCTTTTAATTAGATACTCACCAATCCAAGAACCCATTTCTATATCAATAATAATCTCAGGCGTAGAGTTAGTGGGTATATTATTCGAGGCTGATAGTTGTGGTAATAAAACGGCCGAATAACCAATGGGCATGCCGCAGGCCGCGGATAAAATTAAAACAGCGCAGGTAGAAATAATCTGTAATAAAGGAAAAAGTAAAAGATTTTACTTCACAGAAAAATATATAAAGGAATTACTTAATAAAAGATAAATAAACAAAATTCTTTCTTGTTTTAGCTAAAATTTTGTTGGCGCAACTAAATATTTTAGTTGTACAACTTGTTTTGAATTTGTTTATTAATCAATTGTTTTTTTTGGGTAAAGTTTTTAGTCTTTGTTTAAAATTTTTGTTTTTTATAGTTTTCATATTATATTATTGTGATAAAATTGTGTTTTTAAAAATTATTAAATTACTCAATTATTTGCCACATTCAATAAAATATGATGACCTACTTTTTGCTAACCATTCATAAATAAAAATGCACGTGGCCTTTGGAATTAAATAAGAAAATAAGAACAGTTGCGGGCAGAAATATGTTTAAAATTTGAAAAAGTAAACTATAAGTCAAGATAATAGGATTCTATAAATCGTCCTTCAAACAAACGCCTACTTTGTCAAAAAGTCGACTATTTTGCTCTAAAAAAGCTGAAGTGAATGAGAGCAAGTTACCATTTTCTTGTGAATGCTACTATTCAGCACTTTGACAGAAGTTTAAATAAATAAAGTAAAATTGTTATCATTTCCTAGTGAATGTCACAATTGCATATTGTAGTATAATGCTTTTATTTTATTCATAACTGTTTATTAATTTAACTGCAAGCAATTGTTTACAGTTTTTTCTTTATTTCTTACACAATTTCCACAAACAAAAATTATTAAAATTCTTTCTTTGTTACAAAATATTTAATGCAATTTAAGATTTATTATTTGACTCTGTTCTTTTACAATTTAAAGACCATTCATAGTCTGGACTATAGACTATTCTATAGTCTGGAGTATAGACTATTCTTTAGTCTGGACTATAGACTATTCTATAGTCTGGAGTATAGACTATTTTATAGTCTGGACTATAGACTATTCTATAGTCTGAACTATAGACTATTCTATAGTCTGGACTATAGACTATTCTATAGTCTGGACTATAGACTATTCTATAGTCTGAACTATAGACTATTCTATAGTCTGGACTATACACTATTCTATAGTCTCGACTATACACTATTCTATAGTCTCGACTATACACTATTCTATAGTCTCGACTATACACTATTCTATAGTCTCGACTGTACACTATTCTATAGTCTCGACTATAGACTATTCTATAGTCTCGACTATAGACTATTCTATAGTCTAGACTATAGACTATTCTACAGTCTAGACTATAGACTATTCTACAGTCTAGACTATAGACTACTCTATAGTCTATACTATAAACTATTCCATAGCCTAGACTTTAAACTATAGACTGTTCTATAGACTCGACTATATACTGTTCTATATTCTCAGCTATATACTGTTCCATATTTTCAACTATATACCTACTGTTCAATAGTCTCGACTTCTTCTATAGCCTTGACTATAGACTCTTCTATAGTCCCAACTAGAATGTTCTATAGTCTGGACTATAGACTAGTTTATGTTCTAGACTATAGACTATTTTACTCTAGTCTGGACTACAGATTATTCTGTAGATTATTCCATTGTCCCGACTATAGATTATAAGGACTAGTCTCAAGTCATTTAAAAGTCTACTTTGCCTGAAAAAATTTCTTTAAAATTGTTCTATCTCTTTAACCTTTTTTTTTAATTTCAAATTTATAATAAATCCCATAAAAATATAAAAGGCGTATAATTAAAACAACAACAATTAATTTCATTTTAATTAAAACATGTTTAAAAAAGTCAAAGTATTTGTTTGTAAACAAACACACACACACGCACGCACATCAATTAAAAGAAAAACCAAATAATGCTCTTTGTTTATTATTAAAAGAGAAAGACTATGTAACTGCATTACTCTTAAAACCCCTTATAAACTTAAATATTTTAATTTATTTTTAAACTCTTTAATTCTAACTAAATTCTTTTAGCAAATATGCTCTCCGTTTGAGTATATCCCATATGGTCTAGTGGCTAGGATATCTGGCTTTCACCCAGAAGGCCCGGGTTCGATTCCCGGTATGGGAAGTTTTTTTTTATTTTTTTGATGGTTTAATTTCTATTTATTTTGTAATATTTGTTACCTTTTTTTAATTACAATTTTTTAAGAAATTAATATTTGTTTAATTAGGCAATTACTACATTTGTTTAAAACTTTTTTAGCAAACTTTTTATAGGCCTATTATAGTTTCTATATAAACAATAGAAATTTTTATCAAATTTAGTTTATTACCCACCTGATGATAAATACCACGCATTTCCGTGGTTCTTTTAAGGTTTTTATTATTATTATTGTTGTTGTTGTTGCCATTCGCATTGCTTAACTTTCTTTGCTGATACAAATCTTTTTCATCCGTGGCGGCAACAATTTGATAATTTATTTTTTGCGGCACAAATTTACTGTACTCATCTTCTCTGTAAATAGTTATAAATGAAAAGAAAAAAAAAACAAATTAAACAAATATGTTAATTAATAATTAAACAAATATTTAGAAAAGAATTATAATAAAATGGCAATTGTTAAGAAGACAATGAATACAACGAGATAAAAGTATTAATTGACGGGTTTAATGACTCTGGCAAAGTTTTAGTAAATAATTTATGTTTATTTAGAAGTTTAAATAGATTCACGGGCGGTTTTAATTAAAAAAGTCAATAGAAGGGTAAAGATATCGGAAAAGTTTCTTCCAATAAAAAGAACATGAGACTTTCTTGGGAAGACATAGTATTTTTAAAGGAAAATTAGTGTTTTATAATTAGACTAGACTATAAACTAGACAATAGACTAGACTATAGACTAGACAATAGACTAGACAGTAAACTAGACTATAGACTAGACTATAGACTAGACTATAGACTAGACTATAGACTAGACTATAGACTAGACTATAGACTAGACTATAGACTAGACTAGGACTAGACTATAGACTAGACTATACTAGGACTAGACTATAGGACTAGACTATAGATTAGACTATAGACTAGACTATAGACTAGACTATAGACTAGACTGTAGACTAGACTATAGACTAGACTATAGACTAGATTATAAACTAGACTATACTATAGACTAGACTATAGACTAAGACTATAGACTAGACTAAAACACTAGACTATAGGACTAGACTATAGACTAGACTATAGACTAGACTATAGACTAGACTATAGACTAGACTATAGACTAGACTATAGACTAGACTATAGACTAGCTATAGACTAGACTATAGACTAGACTATAGACTAGACTATAGGACTAGACTATAGACTAGACTATAGACTAGACTATAGACTAGACTATAGACTAGACTATAGACTAGACTATAGACTAGACTATAGACTAGACTATAGACTAGACTATAGACTAGACTATAGACTAGACTATAGACTAGACTATAGACTAGACTATAGACTAGACTATAGGACTATAGACTAGACTATAGACTAGACTATAGACTAGACTATAGACTAGACTATAGACTAGACTATAGACTAGACTATAGACTAGACTATAGACTAGACTATAGACTAGACTATAGACTAGACTATAGACTAGACTATAGACTAGACTATAGACTAGACTATAGACTAGACTATAGACTAGACTATAGACTAGACTATAGACTAGACTATAGACTAGACTATAGACTAGACTATAGACTAGACTATAGACTAGACTATAGACTAGACTATAGACTAGACTGTAGACTAGACTAGACTATAGACTAGACTATAGACTAGATTATAAACTAGACTATACTATAGACTAGACTATAGACTAGATTATAAACTAGACTATACTATAGACTAGACTATAGACTAGACTATAGACTAGACTATAGACTAGACTATAGACTAGACTATAGACTAGACTATAGACTAGACTATAGACTAGACTATAGACTAGACTATAGACTAGACTATAGACTAGACTATAGACTAGACTATAGACTAGACTATAGACTAGACTATAGACTAGACTATAGACTAGACTATAGACTAGACTATAGATTAGACTATAGACTAGACTATAGACTAGACTATAGACTAGACTATAGACTAGACTATAGACTAGACTATAGACGAATAGACTAGACTATAGACTAGACTATAGACTAGACTATAGACTAGACTATAGACTAGACTATAGACTAGACTATAGACTAGACTATAGACTAGACTATAGACTAGACTATAGACTAGACTATAGACTAGACTATAGACTAGACTATAGACTAGACTATAGACTAGACTAGACTAGACTAGACTATAGACTAGACTATAGACTAGACTATAGACTAGACTATAGACTAGACTATAGACTAGACTATAGACTAGACTATAGACTAGACTATAGACTAGACTATAGACTAGACTATAGACTAGACTATAGACTAGACTATAGACTAGACTATAGACTAGACTATAGACTAGACTATAGACTAGACTATAGACTAGACTATAGACTAGACTATAGACTAGACTATAGACTAGACTATAGACTAGACTATAGACTAGACTATAGACTAGACTATAGACTAGACTATAGACTAGACTAGACTAGACCTATAGACTAGACTTATGACTAGACTATAGACAGACTAGAGACGAGACTATAGACTAGACTATGACGAAAGACTAGACTAGACTATAGACTAGACTATAGACTAGACTATAGACTAGACATAGACCTAGACTATAGACTAACGATAGAACTAGACTATAGACTAGACTAGAGACTAGACTAGACGATAGACTACTTAAGAACTAGACTAATAGACTAGACATTAGACTAGACTATAGACTAGACGATAGACTAGACATAGACTAGACTATAGAACTAGACATAGGACTAGACTATAGACTAGACTATAGACTAGACTATAGACTAGACTAAGAGACCTAGACTAATAGACTAGACTATAGACTAGACTATAGACTAGACTATAGCTAGACTATAGACTAGACTAATAGACTAGACTTATTAGACTAGACTATAGACTAGACTATATACTAGACTAGAGACTAGACTATGAACTAGACCTATAGACTAGACTATAGACTAGACTATAGACTAGACTATAGTACTAGACTTATAGACTAGACTATAGACTAGACTATAGACTAGACTATAGACTAGACTATAGACTAGACTATAGACTAGACTATAGACTAGACTATAGACTAGACTATAGACTAGACTATAGACTAGACTATAGACTAGACTATAGACTAGACTATAGACTAGACTAGACTAGACTAGACTAGATAGACTAGACTATAGACTAGACTATAGACTAGACTATAGACTAGACTATAGACTAGATTATAGACTAGACTATAGACTAGACTATAGACTAGACTATGGACTAGACTATAGACTAGACTATAGACTAGACTATAGACTAGACTATAGACTAGACTATAGACTAGACTATAGACTAGACTATAGACTAGACTATAGACTAGACTATAGACTAGACTATAGACTAGACTATAGACTAGACTATAGACTAAACTATAGACACGACCTATACCCTAGACTATACTATAGATATGACTATACCCTAGACTATAGATTTGACAATAGACTAGAATATAGACGAGACAATAAACTAGATTGTTGTATAGACAGGACTATATTGTAAACCATAGCCTAGATTATAGACTAGACTAAACTTTAGACTAGTTTATAGTCTACAATAAACCATCAATAACTTTATTAAGCATTTACGAATATGAGGGTAGATCTTTACCAAAATCATTCATTAGTAAATATTATTGATAACATTAGGAATTTGTTGTATGACTGATTAAATTAAAAAAAAAAAAAAAACAAAAGTTATATTTTTTTAATTGTAATTTCAAGTTCACTTACATACAGATTAAAAAAATAACAAAATGAAAACCAATTAATGTTAGACAACGTGACTTTGACATTGACAGAGACATTTTCATGGTAACAGATAAAGTCTAAGCAGACCACCCTAAGGTGTGGTGAAACGTGGTAAAATTTTCTAAAAGAAATATTTCTTTTAGATTTCTTTATTAATAAATTAAATTTCTATTTTGTTTAATAAACGAAATTTTCAACACAATTTAATTTTTTAATTAAATTTCAATTTATGGCCACACTTTCAATTTCAATATTTTATTATTTAATTGATTTGAATTTCATTATATGACCTGCATTTAAATTTATCTTTTCAAATACTCATGATTTCAATTGTTCCGTTGCGAGAGAGAATTCTATCAATTGCATTTGAATTAAATATTGATGACACAACATAAAAATCAATTGATTGGATTGATTAAAATGCTTGAAAACGCAATTTCGTTACAATTTTTGTTGAGTCATTTAAAGAAAACCATTAATTTTAATAGAAATTATTTTTGGTAGCAAAATATTTTCCTTTTTTTTAAACAATATCAATCAAATTGTTTTTAAATTTTGAGAGATCAACTTTTTGTTGACATTTCTTTGTTTCGAATTCTTTTTTTAATTTCAAGTTGAATTCTAACTGTAGTTTATCAGTTTTTTTATAAAATGATTTGTCATTGTGTTCTACAATTATATTAAAAACTTTCTATATAAAGAAAACTGCTTATTTTTCTTATTTTTGTAAACTACAGTCTAGTCTATAGTCTAGTCTATAGTCTAGTCTAGTCTATAGCTAGTCTATAGTCTAGTCTATAGTCTAGTCTATAGTCTAGTCTATAGTCTAGTCTATAGTCTAGTCTATAGTCTAGTCTATAGTCTAGTCTATAGTCTAGTCTATAGTCTAGTCTATAGTCTAGTCTATAGTCTAGTCTATAGTCTAGTCTATAGTCTAGTCTATAGTCTAGTCTAAGTCTAGTCTATAGTCTAGTCTATAGTCTAGTCTATAGTCTAGTCTATAGTCTAGTCTATAGTCTAGTCTATAGGTCTAGTCTATAGTCTAGTCATAGTCTAGCTATAGTCTAGTCTATAGTCTAGTCTATAGTCTAGTCTATAGTCTAGTCTATAGTCTAGTCTATAGTCTAGTCTATAGTCTAGTCTATAGTCTATAGTCTAGTCTATAGTCTAGTCTATAGTCTAGTCTATAGTCTAGTCTATAGTCTAGTCTATAGTCTAGTCTATAGTCTAGTCTATAGTCTAGTCTATAGTCTAGTCTATAGTCTAGTCTATAGTCTAGTCTATAGTCTAGTCTATAGTCTAGTCTATAGTCTAGTCTATAGTCTAGTCTATAGTCTAGTCTATAGTCTAGTCTATAGTCTAGTCTATAGTCTAGTCTATAGTCTAGTCTATAGTCTAGTCTATAGTCTAGTCTATAGTCTAGTCTATAGTCTAGTCTATAGTCTAGTCTATAGTCTAGTCTATAGTCTAGTCTATAGTCTAGTCTATAGTCTAGTCTATAGTCTAGTCTGTAGTCTAGTCT